GTCTGTGCATATTTCTCTCCTGATTCAGATTAGATGACTTTTTCACTGTAGAATATTATGGACAGAGAACTCATATTTTACCCGGAAAAAAATGTGTTGGTGGATTTGTTTCTTACAAACACACAAATTTGTGCTTCACTAGACTTTAATTGATGGACTGGAGTGGTGTGGATTACTTGTGGATTATTGTGGTGTTTTTATCAGCAGTTTGGACTCTCATTCTGACGGCACCCATTCACTGCAGAGGATCCACAGGTGAGCAAGTGATGTGATGCTAAATTTCTCCAAATATATTCCAATGAAGAAACAAACTTATCTACAGTACATCTTGGATGGCCTGTGAGTGAGTAATTTTTCAGCATATATGTATTTTTGGTTGAACTATTCCTTTAATGCTCCAGAATATCATTATTATTATTATTACTTTTACATATATCAAGTAACTCTAGTTACATATAACATACATATAACTCTAGTTACGGTAATGTTTATGTAAACAGATGGTATGATGTTTCACTGGCTTTTCAATTACCTGCCAGTGAAATAACAAGGGAAGACAGAATATTTCTTCATTTTAAATGATAATTGTGCATCTGAAGAGTGTGACGTATCATATCTGTGATTTCAACCTGCAGTGTTAATTTCGTTGACGAATAATTTTCGTCATAATTTTCGTCGACGACATTTTTTTTCACCGACGAAAACGAGACGATGACGAACTGAAACTCGTTTTGAATGACAGAAACTATGATGAAAATCTGTTGATATTTTCGTCAATGAATAAAAACGAGACTAAAATGTTAGGGAGGAACGATTTGAGAAGAGATTCTTTCAGAACGAATCTGCTGCATGGTTGCGAGGTTAGATGCGTACATATGAACCGGCGGGACATAAGCTAACATACACTTGCTGTTGCTGCACGTCTCATAAAACGTGCAAAAATGTCGATATCTGGGAGTAAGAGAAGAGCAGACATATGGATAAATCTGACGACGCAAGATCTCAAGAGCTCAATTCGGTCCAGTTTTCTGAGCGCACACATCGAAGCAGCGCCTCTCACACAGCCAGAGGTGGACAGTAACTAAGTACATTTACTTGAGTATTGTACTTAAGTACACTTTTTGAGTATCTGTACTTTACTTAAGTATTATTTTTTCTGGGAACACAGCGCACGAGTTCTCTTTCTCGTCTCATGAATGGAGAAATACACACAAAATGATGTCGAATTGTCTGTTTTGACGAGTATTACTTAATGTGAACATAAACAGTTGGGAGAATATTGGACGTGTATTAGTACATTGCATCCGTGTATCTGGTTTTAAAGGGACAGCAGCCTAATTAAGTTGCTATTGTCTGTGGCATTGATGTTAATCAAGCAACAAAAGAAAGACAGAAAATCACTCACTGCTCTTGACTGAATCACTTTAGTATAGCCCTAAAGACTAATCTAAATGTATTTATAGAAATAAATATGTCTGCTTGAAAGAATGAAAAATGTGGTAAGCACGTTGTTATAAAGATATTACCATTTGTATTTCATTGAAAAGAATGTTCTTGTTCTTTATGAGAAGTGGTTTTATTTCATTTTAACATAAAGGCATGTTGTGTGTCACCGCAGTTAAATCGGTGTCTATCATGATAAAACCTTAATATTAAGCCTAGTGAATTTGGAAACCCATTAGATTTTAGCAGACTAAATTTACTGTAGATTTAAAACTAGACTAAAACAAAAACAAAATCAGAAGACTAAAATATGACTAAAACTAAATGGCATTTTAGTCAAAAGACTATGACTAAAACTAAATCAAAATTTGCTGTCAAAATTAACACTGATTTCAACTTTGCTCTTTGAGCAACTCAGGGGTGTCACCCTTCACCGAAAGTGCTAAGGCTGCATGGGACATGTCAACTTAGAAGGTGCTATACTGTCAAATCCAAAATAAGACTTTATCAATTGATCTCTTGAGCTTAGATGACATTTTCATATATGATAAGAGCAGATACAATATTCAGGACATTGCATTTTTCCTTGCATATTGCCATTTTGTTTTTTCAATTTTTAACTTCGCAAATTCAGAAGTACCAAACAAACACTCCCCGTTAAAAGACAATACTTTGCTATCGCTGTCAACACTCACGAGTGACGGTTTGCCACTCTGAGTTTGGGTGTCAGAGTCTCTAATCCATATGGCTCATTGATGATGCTTTTTGACAGGCTTATGCAGTGGAGAATGTCTGTGCAGATGAAGTTTCCCCTTCTTTAAAACACGAGCTGTCGCTCCCACTGCGTGAATTGTCAACCACCGTCTTCAGTGCTGAAAGCAAATGCATAACTGAATGGCTTAATTCATAATAACTTGGATAAGTGCCACTCTAACTAATTTGATATTTGAATTTCATGAAGGACTTTTCATTTACACACTTATACATGCTAGATTAATATTTGTGTATATATGCATGCAGTTGTGCTTTGTATAATACAATAAAGGAGGACTTCCACAGCTTGGTTCCTCACAAAGTTTCTTTTAGATTTATGGACAAATTACATTTAAGTTGATCACTGACAGATATTAAAAAGGAATGCACTCATCTCATTGGCAAAAATATTCAGAATTTGGTCATGCTCCAATAATGTAAGTGTCTTGTAAAAATGCAAAAAAAAAAAAAAACTAAATAAATTAGAAAATATTACAAATTTATTGAAAGTAATTAATTAAAATAGATTAATTTTATAATTCAGTAATAATTTTATTTAATTATAATTCAAATAACAAAAAAACATTGTATGTATATATATATTTATATATATATATCCTGTATGTATATAACATTTTAATTGTGTCATATATAAACTCCTAATTGAACCAAGATATAGATTTGTTTAAGAAGTCTATATTTGTGTCACCGCAGTTAAATCGGTGTCTATCATGATAAAACCTTAATATTAAGCCTAGTGAATTTGGAAACCCATTAGATTTTAGCAGACTAAATTTACTGTAGATTTAAAACTAGACTAAAACAAAAACAAAATCAGAAGACTAAAATATGACTAAAACTAAATGGCATTTTAGTCAAAAGACTATGACTAAAACTAAATCAAAATATGCTGTCAAAATTAACACTGATTTCAACTTTGCTCTTTGAGCAACTCAGGGGTGTCACCCTTCACCGAAAGTGCTAAGGCTGCATGGGACATGTCAACTTAGAAGGTGCTATACTGTCAAATCCAAAATAAGACTTTATCAATTGATCTCTTGAGCTTAGATGACATTTTCATATATGATAAGAGCAGATACAATATTCAGGACATTGCATTTTTCCTTGCATATTGCCATTTTGTTTTTTCAATTTTTAACTTCGCAAATTCAGAAGTACCAAACAAACACTCCCCGTTAAAAGACAATACTTTGCTATCGCTGTCAACACTCACGAGTGACGGTTTGCCACTCTGAGTTTGGGTGTCAGAGTCTCTAATCCATATGGCTCATTGATGATGCTTTTTGACAGGCTTATGCAGTGGAGAATGTCTGTGCAGATGAAGTTTCCCCTTCTTTAAAACACGAGCTGTCGCTCCCACTGCGTGAATTGTCAACCACCGTCTTCAGTGCTGAAAGCAAATGCATAACTGAATGGCTTAATTCATAATAACTTGGATAAGTGCCACTCTAACTAATTTGATATTTGAATTTCATGAAGGACTTTTCATTTACACACTTATACATGCTAGATTAATATTTGTGTATATATGCATGCAGTTGTGCTTTGTATAATACAATAAAGGAGGACTTCCACAGCTTGGTTCCTCACAAAGTTTCTTTTAGATTTATGGACAAATTACATTTAAGTTGATCACTGACAGATATTAAAAAGGAATGCACTCATCTCATTGGCAAAAATATTCAGAATTTGGTCATGCTCCAATAATGTAAGTGTCTTGTAAAAATGCAAAAAAAAAAAAAAACTAAATAAATTAGAAAATATTACAAATTTATTGAAAGTAATTAATTAAAATAGATTAATTTTATAATTCAGTAATAATTTTATTTAATTATAATTCAAATAACAAAAAAACATTGTATGTATATATATATTTATATATATATATCCTGTATGTATATAACATTTTAATTGTGTCATATATAAACTCCTAATTGAACCAAGATATAGATTTGTTTAAGAAGTCTATATTGACAAAACCCTACTGAAAGAAATGACGGTATGATTTTATGTACATTAGTGAGATGGGTTACAGAAGTGAGATGGGTTATTAACATTGTTTCATGTTTACATTTCTCACTTTTTACTTTTTTTTTTCCAAAAAAAAAGTTTTACACTTTACTTTTTTCTGTAACAGTATTCAAGTGAAATCCATTTATTTTCTATTAATTTGAACACTGTTAACATTCTCCATTTGTAACAGTTTCAGTTTCATACAGATGTTTGTTACAGCAAAATAGCCATGAATCTAATGTCTGAGGTGCTTTTTTAAACACAAAACAAAATTACAGGTGATGTTAGTGGTTTGTTTTACACCAGTTCTATTGCTTTTTTTCATTCTCTTTGTTATAAATGATCTAAAGTGCTACATGATTGCAATTACATGAATGGCAATTATTGAACTGATCAAATTACTGTCAAAAATGCTAAAATACAGCATAATAGCAAGAGAATACTGCTTGTCCCCTATAATATTAGTTAGATTGACTTTGCTTCAGTATAAAAGTATATTTGTGCTGTTTCTTGTCCAGACAGGTCCTGGAGGCTGCAAGGAAGTCCAATTTGACGGGTCATTTTAAGTTTGTGGGATCGGACAGCTGGGGTGCCAAGAGCTCTCCGATCCTGGACCAGGAGGACGTGGCTGAGGGTGCCGTCACCATTCTGCCCAAAAGAGCTTCTATTGAAGGTTTGAAATATGCATATGCATCCTTTAAGTCGTCATGAAATAAATGCATGCCACGTATTGTATTGTGATCGATTCATTTGTGCGCTTAAAATTTTTTATTAGAAAATTAGGACTCCACCAATAATGGTTCTTTATTGGCATTGATGGTTCCATGAAGAACTTTTAACATCCATAGAACCAGGGCCGTCTTTAGCTGATGTGGGGCCCGGTTGGGATCGGGGCCCCCCTCAGTCCGTTCGTGATCGCGTTCGCCTCGGTCCGTTTGCCTCGTTTCGTCACACTAAGAAAAAACTGTTCCTTTAAGAACTGTTCACTGAAATGTTTTTTGGGGAATCAAAAATGGTTGAGTGAATCTGCCACTCACACTTTTCACAACACAATCAACAATCGATGGATAAAATGAAGTCCTACATTTCTTTCTTGCTTGATAGCCATTTTACTTGGAAATAGATCACAATATGGTAGTAAAGTTGGTTGCAACTTCTATTTCATGCTGTGTTTTTTACAATCGATTCCACTATAAGGATAAAATTGGTAATTTTTCTGCTTTTAAATCAGGATTTGACCAGTACTTCACCACTCGATACCTGGAGAACAACCGCAGGAACATCTGGTTCGCTGAATTCTGGGAGGACGACTTCAGGTGCAAACTGACACGTCCAGGTATCAAGATAGACTCAGAAAAGAAGAAATGCACAGGTGAGAGCTCCTGTTAGCCGTTTGCAAGTTAACTGATGTTTGGAGCAATGACAGCTGACCTTAAAAGCTTTTTAATGTCTTCTGTCTGTCTTCTTGTTCAGCTTCTCTAAGTATTTTCATTTGTCACTTTGCTGTCTCACTGTGTTCATTTTACCCTTTCTCTCTCTCTCTCTCTCTCTCTTTCTTTCAGGAGAAGAACGGATTAGTCGCGATTCTCATTATGAGCAAGAGGGCAAGGTTCAGTTTGTAATTGATGCAGTTTACGCTATGGCTCATGCTTTGCACAACATGCACCAGGATTTGTGCCCGGGAGCCACGGGTGTTTGTGATAAGATGGACCCAGTGGAGGGACGTTTGCTGCTTAGCTACATCCACTCCGTCAACTTCAATGGTGAGTCAACATCACGCTAGGTCAGAATCACTGAATATGAGACCTGACTGGCATCAGAAATGCCATTAGGCTGGATGCCAAAAGATGTTCAAAGGTCCAAACTAAACCCCATAGAGAGCTTTAATTTAGTCTCACAGACTCATTTGGATTGAACACTGTGTCATGCATATTGATATTTGAATTGGATATTTGAATTTTTAACCACAAATTAAAATTATGTTTTCATGTACTCATCGCTATGTTGTTCCAAACCTGTATGACTTTAGTTATTTTGGAGAAAGTTAGGATGAACTGGTTTGTTGTTTGCCTTATTTGTAAGTCATTTTGGATAAAAGTGTCTGCTAAAAGAATAAATGTTAATGTAAATGTGGAAATTTTGAAGAATGTGAGCTCTATAATTAAAGAGTACAGCAGGTTTATGCGCTGTATAAGAAGTTTAAATTGGTATTGGCTGAAAATCACTGAAAATTTGTGTTTGCAAACATTCAATTATTTGATCAAAATTCAGTTGAAAACGTCGATATTGACGTTAAGGGTCTCACTTGGGAGCCCCAATCACCTCTGAGCATTACAAGAAACGGCCAATTACAATTGGCGAGTGGAATTTGCATGCCAAGCCACTCCCGGTACATACGGGTATATAAGATGGTGGCGTGCATCCACTCATTCAGGTTTGTGCTGAGGAGCCGAGAAGCATCCCGGCATTCAGCACAGTTCACGGTTGTGGCATAATGTCTCCGTTCCCTCCTTCAGGGAATGACGGTTATATACGTAACCGAGACGTTCCCTATCAGTCAGTTACGTTCGATGTTACGTCGACACTGATGTTAGGGGTCCACAACCAGAACTCTATTGTGAAAATTGAATGTGAGGTGTTGACAAGCAAGCGTGTCAGGACAGATGCACCTCAGTCCCTAACCTACCCAATGCCCTATAAGCCAGATCATTTATCAAATATACGGGCTTACCAGGGAAGCTGAAAAAAGGGGTGTTCCGACATTCTCACAATTCTAGATTTCAGCAACCATTGGGGTGCGGAATGTGAACAGTAAGACTGAGTTCGGGAGAACACAACAGGAACTGACAGTAAACAAACTGTCTAGGGAACACACAGGTCTACCAAGGGAAACCGTACCGTGGAAAAAAACATACAGGATTACCAAGGGAATCTCTTGTATGGCACCAAGTCCAGTAAAAGAGGGTGACTAATGGCATGCAACCCAAATACTGGACGTGGCAACAGACTCCTCCGCTAAGTCTGAATACCACAGGGTGTTGGAGGAATCAACTAGGATTCACCAGATGGAGAACTTACTTGAAGAAGATTAGCACACTTACCCTAACCAGAGGAATGTCACCGTAAGCGAGACACCGAGCCAGACCTCCCACAAATTACCTGTTTGTCCCCTGTTGAGGAGTCTCCTCCTTGGATTCCGGTCGGGGCAGAGCAGATGTTGATCCCTCAGGGGGGTGCCTTCGGACAGACGAAGACCCAGACCTCGGCGGTTTGACAATCGGAGTGACCCGCCGAGGCAAAATCTGCTTAATTAACTCCATCTGCTTCTGGACTGCCGAGAACTGCTGGGCAAAGTCCTCGACAGTGTCACTGAAGAGGCCGGCTTGGGAGACGGTGGCGTCGAGAAAGTGGACTTTGTCGGCGTCCTGCATCTTAGCCAGGTTCAGCGAGAGATGGCACTCCTGGACCATGATAGACATCACCTGCCCGAGGGACAGCACCATGACTTTCATTGCCCGGAGGGCAAAGTCAGTCGCCGTACACTGCTCCTGCATCAACACCGGGTCAGTACTACCCTCATGCAGTTTTTTAAGCACCTTGGCATCATGTACTTGCAGGATGGCCATGGCATGCAGGGCGGAGGCGGCCTGGCTCAGCTCTGTAAGCCTTGGCAGCCAGGGCTGATGCCAGCTCAAAGGCTTTGGACAGGAGGTGCAGACGGTTCCTCCAGGTAGTGGTATTTTGTGGGCAGAGGTGCACCGCAACCGCACGCTCCACCTGGGGAACGTCGACATACCCCTTGGCCACCCCACCATCGAGGGTATTGAGGAGGGAAGAGCTCAAACATGACCGGGTGGTGTAGGAGGCCTTCCATGTTTTGGTGAGCTCTTCATGAACCTCCAAGAAGAAAGGTACAGGGGCAGAGCATGGCTGAGAGTCACATCCGGAGCCCAGATACCAATCGTTCAGCCTCAAATGTTCGGGGGATGGAGGCGAGTTCACCTCCAGCCTGATAGACTTGGCAGCTCGAAGGAGCATGGCCGTCAACTCTGCTTCCGACTTCGACTGTGTAGCCGTAATGTTGAACGTGACTGACTGATAGGGAACTACTGTTATGAAACGTTATTACAATTTACCTGTAAATTGTCCTTCAGAAATCATTATAATATGCTTATTTGTTGCTCAAGGTTTAATTTTTGTTATCAATGTTGAAAGCAGTTGAAATATTTTATATAATTTAATATAAAAATGTATTTAAAATTTTATTTAAAATGTATTCAAAAGAACAGCATTTATTTGAAATAGAAATCTTTTGTAACATTAGAAATGTATTTACTCTCACTACTAATCTGCTGAATGCATCATTTAATGCTAAATAATTTTATTAAAATATTATACATTCTTTTATATTATAAAAGATTACAAAATCTGTTTATTTAAATAATAAACATATTGTCTACAATTTACAAGTGCATGTTATTCTAAGGAAGAAAAAAACTTTTTTAAATACAATTTTCCACCTCTATTAACCACTAATTTTATAGCTACTTTTCACATTCTAATCAAATCCTGACTGAGAAAATCAAGTCCCGCCCTACAATATTATTTATAGAATATTCCATTTAATTTTGAAATGTGTGACAATAGTGCCGTTAAATGTGTTGCGAATGTTTTTACATGTGGTGTTGATATACAGCTTGTGCTTAGTGCTTCACAGTACCACTTTGGCCTCGTAGTTCTGTGTAGTTTGAAAACAGAAAAAACATCTCCAGAAAAGTTGTGGCAAGTAAATCTAACTTTGCTCTGGTGTTGTGAAGCTGTCCATGAAGGAATTCCCATTAAATCACGTCCTCAAGAGTGACTGTCATCTTGCAAACATTTGGTGAAAGCTCGCCTGGAGGGAACTGGCTGAACAAGCAATATGCATTATTGTGAAGGAGAAAATTGCATGGAAAATAAGTCCCTTTTCCACCGCAGAATTTCAAATGAAGCTGTCTTCCTCCTACACAGCAAAGAACAAACAAGGAAAATACAAATCATCATTCATCCAGGGCTAACAGAAGCAGGTCATCAGTGGTTCAATGATGTGTTCTTGCTGAGTTGGAGGAAGGGATCTAATGGTTGAACTAAATACACATACTCAGGTTGACAAAGACAGGTTCAAAGCACTTCCAATCATGTGGAAACAGCTGAATGTTTGTATTTAACGCATTCTGAGTTTCCCATTCAAATCTAGTCATAGACTAAAAACAGATACCACTGCCTGTAATGACATGCAGCAGGGTAAAGTATGCATGTAGAGCGAAGTGAAGATGTTCAGAGCTCAGTGGAGAAGACGGAGTAACAGGAAGAGGAGGTGATCAGTGAAGCTAGAACCTGACGTCTCTTTATGATATATCTGGCTGTGATCGCGCTCATCTGAAGAGCTGATGTTCTCAGCTATAATTTACTATCACATCTGTAATTTATTTCTTCAAAGACCAGAAATCACAATTGTTTTGTGGCTTTTAGTTATCTTAAAAGTTGACAAAAGTAACTTAGCAGATATATGCATAAAGAATATCACCTTGCACAATAAAATGCTCCAAAAAAGGTCAAAATGTCCTTTCCCAACTTCCTGTTTTAATAGAAATACATGCAAATTACTTTAAAAAGATGCAAAAAACAAAATCAAAGCAAAACAGTCTAATTAAACTAGTACTTCTTCTGTGATTATCAGGTAGCGCTGGTACTGCTGTTCTGTTTAATGAGAACGGAGATGCTCCTGGACGTTATGACATCTTTCAGTACCAGATGACCAACACCACCAATCCAGGATACAGAGTCATCGGCCAGTGGACCAATAACCTGCGACTCAACGTAAATCGAATTGTACATTAGCACACACTTTAATCATATTCACACCTGAAGGATCCAAGAACATGTATGAGTTATACATAAGAGTCTGAAGACTCATAAAAGACAAATTTTTTCCCACTTTTTTATGTTTTTTTATTTAATTTTTTTAATGAAAGTTTTATTATATTTATTTATTGTTATTTTTTAACAATTATAACATAACATTTCAGATTCTGCACTATTTCAAGAATCCTGAAAAAAATGTATTACCGTTTCCAAAAGAATATTAAACAGTACAACTGTATTCAAAAGTGACGATAAGAAATGTTTCTTGAGTGGCAAATCAGCATATTAGAAGGATTTCTGAAGGATCATGTGACACTCAAGACTGGAGTAATGATGCTGAAAAGTCAGCTTTACCATCACAGGAATACATTTTTTTTTAAATTGTAATAATATTTCACTATATTAAAGTATTTTGGTCAAATGCAGAATGTTATGTATATTCAAAATCTTACAAACCCCTAACTTTTGGTGTATACTGTATGTTCCAAAACATATCTTGAACATACAAGTATGACTGATTTGGTTCTGCAGGTTAAATGTTTTTTTTTTGTTTTCTAGATTAATTGTTTGTAAATATTCTCTGTATTTCATCAGGTGGAAGAGATGCAGTGGACCGGTGGATCCCGTCAGATGCCGGACTCGGTTTGCAGTTTGCCGTGCCGCTCGGGTGAGAGGAAGAAGATGGTGAAGGGTGTCCCATGCTGCTGGCACTGTGAGCTCTGTGACGGCTATCAGTTCCAAGCTGACGAGTTCAACTGCGAGATGTGCCCTTTCGACATGCGGCCGAGCCCCAACCGCACGGCCTGCCGCCCAACTCCCATCATCAAGCTGGAGTGGCATTCACCCTGGGCCATGATCCCTCTGTTCCTGGCCATTCTTGGCATCCTGGCCACCCTGTCCGTCATCATCACCTTCATCCGCTTCAACGACACCCCTATCGTGAGGGCCGCGGGCCGTGAGCTCAGTTACGTGCTCCTGACCGGAATCTTCCTCATCTACCTCATCACCTTCCTGATGATCGCTGAGCCAGGGACGGTGGTGTGCACTTTCCGCAGGCTGCTGCTGGGGCTGGGCATGTGCATTACATACTCTGCCATGCTTACAAAGACCAACCGGATCTATCGCATCTTCGAGCAGGGCAAGAAGTCTGTCACACCGCCAAAATTCATCAGCCCCACATCGCAACTTATGATAACCTTCATACTGATCTCAGTACAGGTGAGGGTGTTAAATGAATTATTTTATTGCTTCCTGCAGGGTGCACCCCATATCCTATACGTTCCAAATCTTATGGAGCTGGTTACTGTGTTGGGCTGGTTGGAAAGTAGAATATTTTTTAACATCGCCTCAGAGCTACAATATTTACTTAGAAGTCTCATATGCTTACCAAGGCTTCATTTATTTGAATACTGTAAAAACAGAAATATTATGACATATTAATGCAATTTAATTGTTTTCTATTTGAATGTATTTTAATTTATTCCTGTGATGTCAAAGCTGAATTTTCAGCATCATTACTCAAGAGACATTTCTTACTATAATCAATAGTGCTTCTTAATATTTTTGTGGAAACGGTGATACATTTTTTTCAAGATTCTTTCATGAATAAAAAGTTTTTAAAAAAAAACAGAATTTCTTTGAAATAGGAACCTAACATTATAAATTATTTTACTGTCTCTTATTTTACTGATTATTTTAATGCACCCTTGCTTAAACTATTAATTTCCTTCAAAAAGCTCTAACTAGGTTCTTATCTTATTAGTTAAAAGTACTTAAATTTGATTAGTGACCTTGAAGTTTAAAACTAAAATATTTCTTCTTAATTTGTTTGTCACAAGTGTTAAAAGTAATACATTAAAATTATTACAAATTAATTACAAAAAAATTCAATATGAAAATTATTAATCTTACTGACCCCAGAATGTTAGTGTACATATTTATTTCTAGGAAATTAATCAGTTAATGAGTTATTTAAATAGTCTCTGCATATGAAGTTTGCATAGCAAAAGTATTTAATATTAAAAAAAAATGACACACATCACCTTTAACTTTTAGCTTCATGCATTTATTAAAAACTGCTGTGGCAGCTTCAATGAGAAATTCAAGGCCAAACCATTGAATTATTGAATAAAACATGAATGAATTTAATTTATAAAGAAAATTCTGCTGTACATCACATTGAATTCTGTAGACAGGCACCTTAGCAAGTCCCGATCTTACATGAAACATACACGAACGTGTCTGTCTACCTCCAGCCAAACACAGGTTCATGAGCGCCACAGAGCCACTGGTTATGGAAACTAAAGCCCCTGTGCTGTAGTTCCATTCTCAGCACGACCCAATGGATGAATTTTGAGGTTTTGTCAATAGCAGTTTCCCAGCCAAGCAGATTCTCCTGTTTGTACACTCCGCCGAAGCTGATAAGCTGCCTGCAGACCTCATCATGTTGAGTGCCTGGGCTTCATTCTGCTTGTGCCAGCAAACGTGCCAAACACGCTAATGTGCAAAAGCAACAGATTCAACATCAATAAAGGCGAAAAAATGATTTACAGGTGACAAGAAATACATATCGTGTCTGCTGATAAACACCTCTCCGGCAATTAAAAACTGCTGATTTGAACTTTTACAAAAGAATATTTTAGAAGCTTTTGTAGTTGGAGCTTGGCCCCAGAATTATGCGCATGACTCACCGGCAGAGGCGCGGGGGAGACGAGATTAACAGGACGTTAGCGGGAGAATGATTGACAGCAGGACGTTTCTCGGCACCTCCTCCAGCGCAGATGTGTCACTGATGCTGAGTGGAGAACGGAACTCCACCGAGCGATTCTGACAGCAACATCTGTCTCCCCGGCAACACGCCGGCCACCCGGCTGCTGTTCTGTTCTCCTCCCAGCCGTAGAAGTTTCTCGGAAAGTTTTGCACGTTACCTGATGAGCAGCTTCAATCGGTCACTTCCTAGTCGGAATGTTGCCATTGAGAACAGGTGTAAAGGACGCTCTCTAAATCACGCCTCTAAACAGCTGCTCTCATCCGGTGATCCTCCGCACTTCCATTATGATTTATGGTGAGCAGAGCAGACGTCCCATTTCAAATGTCGTTGTTTTTTATTTAATGTTCAAAATCTAAAACAGTAACTTGTATGCTAGATATTACACATAATGGTTTTAAAAATATTATTTCTTTACATAGAGTTTGTCATTTCAGTTTCATCTTTTATTTTCAGTTTTAGATAAAGGAGTAAATAACTCACTAGACAGAAGTAAATTAAGAAAACATGTTTACTAAATGAAAATACACATAGTATTTGAAGAAATAATGTTTTGTTTTGTTTTTAACAATAATGTGTGATATCTAGCATAAAAGTAACTATTTTACATTTTGAACACCAAATAAAAAATGAGGACATTTCTAAGGACGGCTATCTACAGTATTTACACTACCGTTCATAAGATTTTTTAAATGTTTTCTAAATGAGTTTTTTATGCTGACCAAGGCTGCATTTATTTGATCAAATACAGTAAAAACTGTTATATTGTGAAATATTGTTACAATTTCAAATAAATGTTTTCTATTTGAATATATTTTAAAATCTAATTTATTCATGAGATGCAAAGCTGAATTTTCAGCATCATTACTCCAGTCTTCAGTATCACACGATCCTTCAGAAATCATTCTAATATATAATATATAATGATATTTTTTCAGGATTCTTTAGAACAGTTCAAAATAACAGCATTTATTTGTAATAGAAATCTTTTATAACATTATAAATGTATTACTTAAACTTTTTTTTTTCAGTTTAATGCATCCTTGCTGAATAAAAGTATTTATTTCTTTCAAAAAAAGTTTGACAAAAAAGTGTAACAGCATATCATAAAGGGTGCATAGTATTTATTTTTATTTTTTTCTGACAGTCTACATTTATCATGGTCAAAATACACAAAACGTCTTAATTCAGAATTAAAAACACTGGAAATTTAAGTGCTACATTTCAGCTGAACTAGACATATCCCCTTTTTTTCGTTTCAGAAATCTGTTCACGTTATTACAAAGCGAGGAAAGGAACTTATCTTTTCGTCTTTAAAAAAGCACTTTAAAACCCATCATTAAGAGCAATCAGGCTGATAGCAGGCCTATTTTAACCAGTAATTTTGTGCAAAGTCGTGTCTGCTGAAGACTGGCTAAAACACAGCTTCTTGTACAACTTTATTCCACATCAATCTAACAGCAGCTCTTGACAAATGAGTCTGCCCTTCTGACTCTGAGCTTTTACTTCCTCCCGTCTCTCCGCAGGTTGTAGGTGTTTTCATCTGGTTTGGTGTGATGCCGCCACACACCATTGTGGACTATGAGGAGCAGCGGCCGCCCAATCCGGATTTGGCGCGTGGCATCCTGAAGTGTGACATGTCTGATTTGTTGCTCATCTGTTGCCTGAGCTACAGTATCGTGCTGATGGTCACGTGCACTGTGTATGCGGTCAAGAGCCGAGGTGTGCCTGAGACCTTCAATGAAGCTAAACCCATCGGATTCACCATGTACACCACCTGCATCGTCTGGCTGGCATTCGTGCCTATTTTCTTTGGCACAGCACAGTCCACTGAGAAGGTGAGATGGTTGTTATTATAATGGGATTCATTACTAAGGTTGGTAAACAAGTACAGTAGTTCACCCCAAAAATGCAAAGCATTAACTTGCCATCATGTCGTTTTGTTTGAAAGAAATTATTCATTGGATTCAGCAAGGATGCATTACATTGAAAAGTGACAGTACATTTAATGTTACAAAAGATTTCTATTTCAAATAAATGCTGTTCTTTTGAACTTCTGGTCATCAAAGGATCGTGAAAAAACAACAACAACAACAACAACGTATCGCAGTTTACACAAAAATATTAAGCAACACAACTGTTTCAACATTGATAATAAGAAATGTCGCTGAGAATCCAGCTTTGTCATCACAGGAATAAATTACATTTTAAAATATATTCATATATTTAATTGCAATGCTATTTCATAATATTACTGTTTTTTCCGTGTTTTTTTAATCAAATAAATGCAGGCTTGGAGAACATAAGAGACTTCCTTTAAAAACATTTTAATAGCATTTCACAGTATTACTGTATTTACTGTATATTTGCATAGGCCTATAAAAAACATAAAAAATCTCACCCCCAAACTTTGGAACGGTAGTGTATAAAGTGACAAAAATGCATTATAAAGTGGACTCATGCACTATATTCCACATATTCTGAAATCATAATAATAGCTTTAATAATAATAGCATAATAGCTTTTGTGATGAACAAACTGAAATTTAAGTTGAATTTGAATGTTCTTCCTCACAATGTGCACATGTTCAGACTTTGCATGCTAGCACGTCTTGCCAGGTTTGATGTGTAGCCGAACATGATGCACCAAGTTTGAACATGCAGCAGTGCAAATGAGATCTTTAGGATGGTCTTGAGGTTGAACTTGACCTCATTCATCACATGCTAGTAAAAAGCCTCCTCAGAAGTGATTCCAGTGGTGTTTTAGGAGAGGAGCACACTCTTAAAAATAAAGAATCTTTATTTGCATTGCTGGTTCCATATAAGAACCTTTAACATCCATGGAACCTTTTCATTCCACAAAGGTTCTTTATAATGGGGAAAAAATTCTTTACATTTTTTAAAATGTTCTTCACACTAAGAAAAATGGTTCTTTGGGGAACCAAAAATTGTTCTTTTATGGCATCACAGCAAAAATCCCCTTTTGGGACTTCATTTTTAATTTCACCACTATCCCACTCTTTTTCCTCATTTAATATCTTGTTTTACAATAAAACAAAAATCACATTATGGAAGCAAAATCAAATGCGGTTTTTCTGGAAGTGTTTTCATCATTAACTGCTGGTGTTGCTAGTTGTTTCTGTGTTACTGTTCTTGTATAAAAACTGTAATTAAAGCCGTATCCTCTGACAGTGAGAAATTTTAAGCTATTAATGCTTTTTTCATACATTCACAATGGGACAGAGAGCAATACAACACATTAACGTTTCACATTTCGCCTTCTCCATCTTCAAAACACAATATATAGCAATGCAACACCATCTCTCTGTGAAACAACTTGTATTTTTCCACCACAATGTGTTCTCACAGTTCTGCTCCAATCCATCAACAAAAGAGCGGAGCTTAGTCACTGTTTAAGTCCTTAAGTAGAAAATTATGTGAAATGAAGTCATTTCAATATGAAGGCATTGAAGTAAGCAACAACCTGCCAGGTTCACGATAACAAGTCCAAATTGTATTGCTCACAGTTTTTTTTTTTTTTTTGAAGAGGGCTTTGATATGGCAGACATGGAAAGGGATGAGATGAGAAAAAAACAACATTTCATTTCCCCTCCTTTTATCTCCCAAAGACACACCATGACACAGAGACAAAGACTCTTCCGCCCACCAATGAGGTTCTGGGGGTTTGACTGTGGGAGGAGGTTGATAACAGGAGTGTTTTGGAGCCTGAAAGACAATGTCTACCCATCTTAATAAAGCCAGAAGCCTTGTCAGCGGGAATTAGGAATTAGAGCATTAGTTATTGCTGCATAGATTAGACGAGCCAGGTAGCTTCCCACTGACGTGCCGTTTGCTCTTTTATTTGCCTTGGCAGCCACATGTGATGAACATTGTGAATGTTTATTTTGATGCGTTGCCATGTCCAGTCCAAAGGAAGATTTTATTGCTAAAATGTTGCTCAGGAGGTTTGATTAAAGCATCACGTTTGATTTTTCTTCTGTTCATTTTAGGAAAACAAATGATAGTTGACACAAAGTAAGAGCTGTAAAATTAACGTGGATACCATTAATAAAAGTTCGAGGTTAGTAAGATATATTTCTGAAAGGAATTACTACTTTTGTTCAGCAAGGACGCATGAATGCTATTCTTTTCAAACAAAAAATCTTGAAAAAATTTTTTAGCATGATTTCCACAAAAATATTAAGCAGCTCAACTGTTTTTAATATTGATAATTAGAAAACAATGAGAAAAATGATTTCTGAAGGATCATGTGACACTGAATAATAGTAAATGTTAATTACTGAAAATTCAGCTTTGCGTCACAGGAATAAATTAGATTTTAAAATATATTCAAATAGAAAACAATTTTAAATCGTAATAATATTTCACAATATTATTTTACAAGCCCTGGTGAGCGTAATCAAAGACATCAAACTTTTAAACGGTAATGTATAATAATTATGATTAATGATTGTAAGAATTAAGTTTATTAAATAATAATTATTAATTAATTAAATATTTTTAGAATTACATTAATTTTAAAGATAACGCTGTACAATAAGGTCCATTACTTAACGTTAATTAATGCACCTTTTCTGAGTTGTGCAAATTAGTTTTGATATTACAATGGTTTTTTTTGTCAGAAGAAAAATCAAGAGATAAAACTCTCCATTACTATGTTGCAGTGACAACTGAGCTATTAAAGCAATCTTATTTGTCATGTTATCTTTATTTTATTATGGGGTCTAGCTTCACATTTTCACTAGAACGTATCCTGCGAAGATCTGAGATGATTCTGATGATCTGTAACTCTTGACCTTTTATTTCCTGCGTTTGATGTAGATGTTCATCCAGACGACGACGCTGACCGTGTCCATGAGTCTGAGTGCCTCTGTGTCTCTGGGGATGCTCTACATTCCGAAAGTCTACGTCATCATCTTGCACCCGGAGCAGAACGTGCAGAAGCGCAAGCGCAGCTTCAAGGCTGTTGTCCAAGCCGCCACCATGTCCTCACGCCTCTCGCAGAAATCCATCAATGACAAGCAGAACGGAGAGACCAAGATCGAGCCGGACAGGACGCAGTAGCAGGTAACAGCCACTCTCAGACCCTTGGAAAAGTGCAAGGAGTCTGTTCTGAATCTCCGGAGACACCATTAAAGTCTGGAAGAATACTACAAATAAATCAACCCGTCAAAATCAGTTTTAAAAATAAAGCCTCCAATCAGAACCAGAAAGGTTTTACAATTGATGCCACAGGAGCAGTGTTATTTTAGTATTATTCACCTACTATTATAGTTTTAAGTTACTATTTTGAATTATTAGCTTATATACATTTTAGATATCTAATATTTTATACTTTCAGATTTCATTTCAGTTCCATGTATTTATTTATCTAGGTAACTTCCAATAAGCCTATTTTCAGGCGCTGCGTAATATCATTGCGCCTGCTGCACCCATGGTACGGCAGCAAAGTTCCTTGATTATTACGCCGGAATGAGAGTATAGTTCCTAGCCATATCGGCCTAGAAAATCGCAACTTTTCATTTTCCGTCGGTCTTAGTACACGATGTAACTACAGAAGAGTCAAGTTTTAAATAGGAAAAATATAGAAACTCTTTGGTCATTTTTGAGCGAGATGCTAACGGTCTAATCAGATTCAATGATCTATGCTAAGCTAAGCTAAAAGTGCTACCGCCAGACCCGGAGATCGCCTGAATGGATTCGAAAACGGTAAAACTCAACTGTTTAACTCTAGGGGAGTTGGAAAATGAGCCTGTTTTCAAAAATAGTGGAGTGTTCCTTTAAGTCGCTGGGGGATATTTGTAGCAATAGCCAAAAATAACATTGTATGGGTCAAAATTATCAATTTTTCTTTTATGCCAAAAATCATTAGGATATTAAGATCATGTTCCATGAAGATATTTAGTAAATTTCCTACCGTAAATATATCAAAACTTAATTTTTGATTAGTAATATGCATAGCTAAGAGGCCGTGAGGAATAGAAGTACAGTGCGTTCAACGGCTTGTACTGTTGTTTAACAACATACGGTACCAATTGTTCAGCTGAAGAAATGACTTTTCGAACATAACTTTCAGTAGTCAAAAACTCCATAAAAGAGTTTTGAAAGTTGCATGTTGTGAAAATGATGCAATCTAGGACATTTATACAGTGCGTGCCATTGTAAAGTCTATCCTTCACAACCTCATTTTCATCCGTGTTAAATTGAATATGGCATCTAACCTGACTCAGGTCTACTGATGGAGAGACCTGAGCCATATCTAGAGACTACAATATTATAATGTTGTAACTAGAAGCCATCTAGTAACAGCATAACAACCAATAAACTACATAGCAATGCACTAAAACATTCAGAACACTTTAATACTAGCAAAGTTGGCAACTACCCACAACACCCTAGCATTGGCTTTTATGCTATGTTTAGTTTCTGCTGTGAAGTCATATTTGCTGAAAAAATATGAATATTGCAGTAACTTGCTCTTGTGAACTTTTATGCCCTCAAATGACTTATAGCCGGCGATCTACTGAGAAATACTGCTCCGTAATATATCTCACTGAAATAAACTGTCCTCAAAGCTTCCAAGACGGGATTGTTAGGGAACTCTATGCTTTAAATTCAATATTTAAGGTGCCCTGAATCCTTTTACGTGAGTTGTATTGACTGCCCCCTCACATTTTGATATCCATAACATCTCCCTCTCTCTCTCTCTCTCTCTCTCTCTCTCTCCCTCTTTTTAATTGCAGTGAACTGCTTTTGGGTTTATTTTCCACTTGTTCTCTATCTCTGCAGCACACATTTGCTTCCTCAATACATGCAGTTTGAAGCAGCACATCTCATTACTTCCATATTACTGAGCTTTTGGAAGCAAAAAATCACTAAGCCTGCACAAAATTCTTGAAATGATGCTTGTTGATATGGATATTTCTCTGCGCTGCAACAATATTTGGGTGCACAAGCGAAGAAACTGGAAGCAGAAAATGAATTATGAAAAGCATGTGGATAGAAGTGCAGTGAATATGATTATTTTATGGACTGTATGAATGCATTTGTTAATAAAACAAATGCTAAATCATTCTGTTATGTATTTTTGAATGCTATTTTCCTTTTCCCCTTGTAGGTACTAAGAGCTTATGTAATTTTGCCATGTGACAACTAGCCCTGGTGACCTTTCTTTCTTTCTTTTTATATTTATACTTTTATTTAATTAGTGGATATATCGTTCAGCATTATGTGTCATAGTTTTATATATATATATATATATATATACAGTATGTATGCATATATGCATAAGACGCATATACGTTTTTGTCTCTAATGCTCACCAATGCTGCATTTATTTGATACAATATACAATACAATACAATAATATACAATATATATATAT